TGTTATTCCCGTTTATTCTATCTATAAAGTATTCCTGTTTATTCTATCTGTTAATTATTCCTGTTTATTCTATCTATAAAGTATTCCTGTTTATTCTATCTGTATGTTATTCCCGTTTATTCTATCTATAAAGTATTCCTGCTTATCCTATCTGTATGTTATTCCAGTTTGTTCTATCTATAAAGTATTCCTGTTTATTCTATCTGTAAATTATTTCTGTTCATTCTATCTGTAAATTATTCATGTTTTATTCTATCTATAAAGTATTCCTGTTTATTCTATCTGTAAATTATTCCTGTTTATTCTATCTGTTAATTATTCCTGTTTATTCTATCTGTTAATTATTCCTGTTTATTCTATCTGTTAATTATTCCTGTTTATTCTACAGGGTGTCCCAAAAAACATGGGAATTCAGTGACGAATAGTATATCGTCTTTGCTATGAATTAGCATTGTAATAGTGAACCACTTCAAAGTTAAGCAAAGAATATTTTCATATAAAGAATTAGTGACTTTCCTTAACATTTAATTGTCACTCTTTTCAGAAGTTTTAATGTATAATAAGCGTCTTAGGACTCCCCGACAGTTTAACCCACAAATACTTTAATAGATCGTAAGAATCTTTTCATTATAAATTCGTAAACCATTGTAAAAATTATTTATCATTATTCATTTCATTTTTTAGGAAATAAAGAGTTTTCTGCATTATCGATTTTGATTTGAGGGTTATTCCTTTGTCTATCTGTTCATCGTCAGAATCTTGTTCCTTTGCGACAACAATTCCTGTTTATTCTATCTGTATGTTATTCCTGTTTATTCTATCTGTTAATTATTCCTGTTTATTCTATAAATTATCAATTTGTTTTCAATTTTGAATTTCAATACAAAATGGCTTGCAGAAAAGTCATAGAAGAAAGTTCCACCAGAACCTAACACTTTTTAAGTTAGAAAATGGATTTTATCTTGCTCATTGTACACTGTGCAGTTATATACGGCGCTGTGGTAGGCCACCTTTAGAAGAGAAAGGAACTCTCTTTTAGCGGTCCCAGGTTTACAGTTTGGTGGAGCGCTGCGTTTAGTTGCGCATCTTGTATCCTACAGGGGAATCAACAAATGTACGTAGAATAAAACAAGACTTCATCTTCAGCCTGGTGTAACTGAAAGAAGGAGTCTAACCCCTGATGGCTATACAAGCCATGCACAACGATACTGGTTTTTTACTTGACCAGATGTGAAGACTGGACTGCTGTGGAAGATTCCTCTCAATTGGGTTTTAGGGCTTACAACTCCCCATTTTGCATAAGGGATGCAGATGGGTTTCCTTAATCCCCCTTAACTCGGAAAGAGTACAATAGAAGAAACACAGGGAGCAATCCCCTATACCCTTCCTCCTACAAACATCTTTATCTCTCTTCTACCTGCTCCACAACTGTCAAAAGAACTATTTGGAGAGGCCTCAAAGTGTAGAAACAAAAAATAAGAAAAAACAAGAAAAAAGAAAATTAAACAGAAAATATTTGAAGGGAAATCTTTTTATAACAGAGATGGGGGCTTGGAAGACATCCCTCCCCCCTCCTCCCCATCCCCAAGAAAATATTAGAAAATTGTGTTTGTGCATAGTCAGATGCAACTCATGAGTAAAAAAATAATTAGAGTTCCATAAATAAAGCAAGATCCCCAGCTAGTACAATTAAATACAGGGACACCCAAAAAAATCTTTTCTTTTTATTTTCAAAATTAGACAAAACATAATTAAAAGATGTACGAACAAGAAGAAAATGACGAACAAGAAATATAGAAATCTCAAAATATTTCTATGTAATGAAAAAAGCTGCAATTGGAGAAATGTTTGAAATTATTCAGAACTTTTAAATTCATATTTTTAAACTAAGTAGAGCTTGTTCAGAAAATTCATCAATTTTAATTCTGAGATGGATTCTCAAAACTAAGATTTAAGATTTAAAATATCCTTCTCATGAATTGGTTTCCTCTGCTGTATATGTAATGACCTAATGGGAGAAACTTTAATTTTGCTTCATTCTGGATTCTTTCTAGAATATTTCTGTATGCTGTTCTGTATTCTGTACAGAACTATTATGTATTCTGCACAGAACTATTCTGTATTCTGCACAGAACTATTCTGTATTCTGCACAGAACTATTCTGTATTCTGCACAGAACTATTCTGTATTCTGTTTAAAACTGTTCTTCATTCTGTACAGAACTTTTCTGAATTCTGTGCAAAACTATTCTGTATTATGCACAGAACTATTTTATATTTTGTACAGAACAATTTTAAATTCTTTACTGAAATATTCTGTATTCTGTACCGAGCTATTCTGTATTCTGATATCAAAATAGAAATATTATATTTTCTGTGTAGAGCTATTTCTGGATTGTGTTTTAACTAGAACTACTCAGGGCTCTGTTTAGAACAGCAGGGATAATAGTTCTCTACCTGTGTGCTCAGTTAGCTGTACTGTACACTTACAACTGTTTACTAATATTGATATAAGCTGCATTAGATCCTTGGGTTAGGCCAGAATCAACTTATTATAAACAAATATGCAGTACGCTCTCGGTTTAGCTTATTGCCTATAAAATTAGTAAAGGATTAGCGTACATCATCACTCTATACACTATAACCTCGTTGGTTTAGAATCATTTTTTGCACATCGAGTTATTCTGTACAAAGATATTCTGTATTCTGTATTCTGTATTTAGCAGATAGGTTGTCAAGTACAATAGATGGCAACACAGAATGCGTACACTTTCAGTACAGCTGTATTTACGTCATAAGTGTGAACTCAAATTATGTGTCCATTTTGTCCATGGCCCTTTAATATTGTAATTGGAAAGTATAACGTTAAAACATATTTCAGAAATGTTTAATGAGATATTCTGGGTAGTGCTCCGGAAAGGTCTAATCCAGGATTGACCCCCAGATATGCAGGAAAAATACAGGCAACAAGAAAAGGTAATTTTCTAATGAAATGTCGTCTTCTCAGGATATATAATTTTTTTCACAAATGTCGTATTTTACAATTTTTGAGAACACATAAGAAATATATAAAAATTTTAAAAGTGTTTAAATTATGAAATTTATGGAAAATCTATGTAGATATATATTGTATACAGGGTGTCAAACCAAAAATTTTCAGTAGGAGTATTGGGTACTGAGGCAACAATTTTATTTGAATTTTCACAATCATGGTAACATAAGAAAGCTTTAAAATTTCAGATATTTCAAGGCATTCTGTTTATAATATAATTACTTTTTTAAGTATGAAGTATATGAGCCTAAGAATCGATTTACCGTATTCTTTCAAATTTAGATTTTTTACATTATTATTTTCATTTGTTCATACCTCACATTTTTTTAAGTAAGCTGTTGGTCATATGTTTCTTTGTAAGTCAAAATTTTGGATTTGCAAAATGTTTTGTTTCAACTTGTATATTGTATTTGAATTTCGCAGAAATGGGTTTCTGTGCGATTTGTTTGTATATTTGTTTTAACAACAAAAAAAATTTTTTTTTTAATTTTCAAATTCCATCAAGGTCGGGAGGGGGGGGGACTTTAAAGTTATACTATGAACATTGGACAAGTACAAAGTCAACATTACATTATTAATATGAATTAAATGAATTTTTTTGGTTTTTATTGATTATATTTTTTTCAATTAGGGGTAGGCAAAGAACTTGTTTCGTGCCTGGATGCAGTTCACACCCTCTGACATCCAGATTTAAACAAAAAAGAAGAAGAAAGTGTGGCTCAATTCTTTTTTGAAATTGACGAGACTAATAAAATCCATGTGTTCCCACATCATTAACCTTTTTGTAAAAAACCTTTTTTTTCAAAGAATTAAGCACCTAAATGTAATAGTGAACAAACTTAGTCATCACATGATAAGAAATTTGGAGCAAAAAGGTCAATCTATTTATTAATAAATTATCAAAAATATTATTTTTTTTTTGTTATTGTTTTTTGTTGTTGTTATGTATGATGATATAATGTGTATACTTTGTTTAACCCACCAAAACTTCGTTACTTTTAATGCAGAGAAATCAATCTGATTTTTGTAAAATTTGTAAATTGTATAAAAAGAGGACAACCTCTGTTTCAAAAAATTAGACGTCTGAATTTTCAAAAAAATTACTGTCTTTAGAAATTAAACAGTAAACCTATAATACAACTAGAAAATTTACTTTAGTGAGAGAAAAGAAAAGAATCCGGCCACCAAACGACAGTAAATATACTGTATGTAATTTTGAGTTGTAAATATTTTTTACGTATTCCTACAAAGAAGACATTTATCTACGCTGAATCTTGGAGATAAAATCAACTAATTAGAGGACATGTCGTCTTTCTTTTTACATTTGACACTTGGGACGTGTTGCGCAGTTGGTCGAATTTTCTGTTGACATATATTGTACTTGACAATCTATTTGGTATTTAGTATTCTGTATTCTGTATTCTGTATTCTGTATTCTGTAATAGAAAAGCTTCTATAAAATAATGGTTTGTTTAAGCTCAAAAAATTTATATGAATTGGAAAACCTTGGAATAATGAACAAGGGAAAGACAACATTTAGTTTTGGTTTAGATATATTTTACGCCAATACGTCTTTCTACAACTTGACCATCATTTGATAATTAAATAATAAATGCATGCTCATGTATTATCATTCAAAAAAAGACCCAGAGACAACCTACAGATTCCATGCTATCTGATTTAATCTAATATTAACTTATTCTACAGGGTGTCCCAATAAACATGAGAATTCAGTGACGAATTTGATATCGTCTATGTTATGAAATAGCTTTGTAAAACCTGATTTCAAAAGCTATATATTATGTCTGCTAAAGTTTATTTTACGTAAAAAGTAAATAGCTGTAAAGATGAAAGAATGTAAGGCAAGGAAAGTTAATTGCGGTTGTGTATACTCTGTGTACATATTGAAACCAGTTCTCTTTGGGCGGAATTCGTAAACAATAATAGATGCATCAGTGTTCGTTCAGTATTCGAGGAGGGGGGTTCAATGGAGAATTTACTTCTTCTTAGTACTGTCTGTGAAAAAATTTATTTGGAGGGTAAGTGATTAAATTATCAATCGTCCAATCTTTTAAATTTTCATGCTCATCATCTAAATCTTTGATTTTTCTGTGCAAATTCAAGTTTTCTCCTCCGTTTAATTGTAAAATTTTCTTTGGTTTTGGGGCTTTTTCTTAATTATAATTTTGATGCCTACAGAGGCCATTCTGAAGATAGACCAGACCTGGCCAAAACTCGTAGTGGACCTTTTTGTTAAAATACGCTTTTTTCAACGTTTAAGAGTTTTGAACTCTCCGCTCAAGGAAAAACACAAAACCAATTGTGTAAGAAATTTGAAGCAAAAAGCTAGCTCAGTTTATTTTTTGAATAAATTTGTCTAAATATAATGCATTCATTGTTTTATTTTCTTCAGTATAGTATGACTATATGTTGGCAGGCGATTATATTGATAAAATAAAGACTACTTTTTATTAAAGTTTGTATTGTTAAGAAGCTTTTTTGAAGTACAAAGTTACTAGTAATTTAAGTGAAACTTGTTTAATTTTATGTTTTTGTGTATCCATGCTGTTTAAAAGCTGGATATAAATCAAAATTAAAATCGAAAGTTGTCTTCATAATATTGATATAATCGCCTACCATCGTAAAGTGAAGCCTAAAACAAGATAATTTTCATCGATGCTTTCCTTTTAAGTATTGAACGAATTGAACCATTCCTTACCCAAAAACGACCATAATATAATAGAGAGACGACTTAAACATGAGAGTAGAGAGACGACTTAAACATGAGAGTAGAGAGACGACTTAAACATGAGAGTAGAGAGACGACTTAAACATCGTCTTTGATCTTTGAAATAAACAAAAAAGAAACAATATTTTGGAAATTCTAGAACTAATGGTATTGTGTGAAAATTGTCCAAAGATTTTTTTGTGTGAAATTAGTTTTACCCTAAACGGCTGGGGGGGGGGGGGGGGCCCCCATGTTGTCCTAGCACTCTTATTTCTGACACTTTCACCGTGAAATTTTGTGACTTTTAATGAATAGTAATTTAAAGGATATTTTTTTTTAAATTCATGGTAGGGTACAGGACGGAAAAAAAGTCCGGTCTGTGAAAAAAAATCTAAAATACCCCATAACTTTTTTGTGACTAAATTTACAGATCTAGAAACTATATTTGCATGTAAAAACATGTGAAACACTTTGATATTTGTTTACACAAAAAAATATCTTTTTTTATTTTTTTCCACCCTCTCCAGCATTCAAAATATTAAAGTTATCAGAGTAACATTTTTTTTGAGCTGGCCATGAAAAATTGGGCTATGAACATGCATCTCAACCCTACACCCATTCTGAAAGGCCTTTTTCTAGGGGGGGCGCCAAACGCCCCCCCCCCCGTCTAAACATAGATTCAGACCCCCCAGCCTTTATAAGGGTAACGAAAACATACTGTAAATTATATCAAAGACGATCTTCAAGTCGTCTCTCTCAACTATCATGTTTCATGGGACACCCTGTACTAGATTTTATAAATACAAATATTGAAGATCTCTAATTTTAATATAACTCACATATTTAAAATACAAATTACATGTTTTTACTTTCAAATCATGATAATGCATTTTGCTGAAGAATCTGCTTTTTTTGGTTTTACGAAAAACTGCATGGAAGTAAACTTTTAATTACTTTTCTGTAAAATTCATTTTTATTTTACTACATTCTATGTTATGGATTCTTTGGATTCTGGAGACGGAAACCTTTGGTTGACATAAACCTATTTGCTAATGGCTGTATATCATGTTCTAACAGTCGTCTTCCTATTCTACAGTTTATCAGATCACTTATTGCTAGGTTATATCAGAAGATGGGGATGATAAAGCTGAGTTCAGTCTTTTCTCCACGTTCTCTCTGATATCCTTCATATTAAACAATCTAAACAAAATATTATTGCTCTACACATTTCTTGAAAGGAACTAATTTAAAGTGCACTTTTAACTTAAAAACAGCTGTTTGACCGATTCACAACGATACTCAAGCTTTATTCTGAGAAAAAATGAGTAAAATATCATCATTTTTTAATTTAGAAAAAATGTAAGTGCCCCTCGTGATATGAAGGGTATAAAATGGAGGGTCTCTTGAAATGGAGAGTATCTTAAAATGGAGGGTCTCTTGAAATGGAGAGTCTCTTGAAATGGAGAGTCTCTTGAAATGGAGGGTCTCTTGAAATGGAGGGTCTCTTGAAATGGAGGTTCTCTTGAAATGGAGAATCTCTACTCTTGAAATGGAGGGTCTCTTGAAATGGAGAGTCTCTTGAAATGGAGGGTCTCTTGAAATGGAGGGTCTCTTGAAATGGAGGGTCTCTTGAAATTGAGGGTCTCTTGAAATGGAGGGTTTCTTGAAATAGAGGGTCTCTTGAAATTGAGGGGCTCTGAGACACAAGAAAGTATTTTCATAAATTAAGTTTTTCATCCAATTTTTTGGTTGTTATTTTGTTGAAGAAAAATTAGGTTGATAATGCTAATAGCGTTCATAAAAATGTAAGGCTAAAAAGTATTCAAATAGCTCTGAGAACATTTTGTAAATAAGATATTTCTTCTTATTACAGTGTTAACCAGAAAACAATGGAATGGGAAGACGACATAATAGTAACACTTAGGTGTATTTGATGTTGTTACAAAGCAAATTGTTTTACTAGACACTTACAGTGTGTATAAATCACTAATGTAGTGAAATGGGTCTGTTTACAATACACAATTGCTGTGTCTCATGCTCATTGGACTTTTTAAAGTTATAACTTGATTTTGACAGTCGTCTTACTATTTCAGAGTTTTCTGGTTATCACTGTATAAAACTTACTTTAATTTGTATATCAAGTATTCCATCTCGTACATTCTAAAAATATGTACTATATAAATATAAGCATATTCAAATCAAACCCATGGTCATGGAAAAAAACGAGGTATCCTTGTACGTCAGCCTTAATATTATCTGGAGATTTTAAAAATGGAATTTAATCAGTTTCATAATAAAAAAAATATTGTTTATTATTTTGTCTATTTCTCACTTACCCTTGTGTGGAAATATAATGAAAAGATATGGGATATTCACTACAACAAGCAAATCCTGTAAACATGATACTCTTAGAAAGGAACTGATTACTCGCGTCAAAATCTTATCTCTAATCTACTATTTCTTTGCAACCTCTTGTCAAAGATTTTTAATATTTCTTTTTTATGATCTAAATATTTATTCGTGTAAAGCAATTGTTTGATATAAATATTTAAAAGCATACATACAAATTAAACTGCACTTTTTTTTCTTGCTTAACAGTTCTTTAATATTTTAAAATTTGAATTCTGCTAGATGTAATATATCTATTTATGTCACTGAAATGGGTATTATTAAGTGCGAAAAAGTTTTTGCCCGGATTTTTATTTTGATCGAATACCATACGAAATACGCATGATACCCATTTTAATAACATATATAGTTTTATTCAGTTTTACAAAAATTATTTAAAAGCAGGTCGATGAAGTTACTTAATCACCCTGTTGTAGGGTGGTTAAAGTTACTGTAAAGGAAAAATAAAAGGGGGTATAAGCTAAAAGCTAATCACTTTAGCTCTTGATCGCGACCCATGAAAGTTATATCTGATGTTCCGATCTCGAGAAATTGATATACAACTGTGTCAAATTAATATATATACAATTTTGTATAAAAGTAGTGGGTTTAAATAGATCAAATTCAGCAAATAAGCAACCAATCTGAAAACAAAGATATCCCAGAGAAAGCTAATTATCACTTAGGTTTACTCCAATTCTAATTTTATATTTGTTATTTCTATTTTTGATAGATTTAATTCATAATATTATTTACACGTCCATATTACTTGACCAGAAATTCCACCAATGATATTGCAGTAAAGTGGACACGTGATATAGGCAAAGACACGTGACCAGTATACTGCTCTGCCATTGGTGATAGTTCTGGTCAAGTGATTTAAGTTTAAGATTCTCTAAATTTTACATATATGAACCGTATAATGTTAACACAATTTCTCGAGACAGGAACATCAGATAAAATTTTCATGGGTCGCGATCAAGAGCTAAAGTGATTAGCTTTCAGCCTATACCCCCTTTCATTTTTCCTTTACAGTCCCTTTAAGGAACCTTATTATGCTACAATAAGACAAATTAGGTATGAATTTTAAAATTTTAATAGCAGCAGGGTGAAAAAGTTACTTTTTCGCCCTCTTGTAGGACGATCACCCTACAAATGGAAATATTAGGTGTGATAAATTCCATCAAAATCGAATAAACCATATTGTTCTACTCAATTAATATTAATATTATTTATTTATTTATTTGTAACTTTTAAGTATCAATGAATGATTATTTAAATTAATATCATAACAATAATTCTTGATTTCTTTGGTATTATTTATTTAAGGGAGAGACTGGCTAGGTAACATAATTGAACCAGTTTAACCAGTTTTAAAACTCATTTTATGGTTTTATGGTGAGACTGTAAAGACGAATCAAAACTCTAAAATATGAAAAATTGAAGCTTGACTTTTAGTATCTGCATTCAATTGAGTATAGAGATGGTTTCCTGAATGATTAAGCACATAAATAAAGCATTTTAGGCCTACAAGGAACCCTTTATGCAAGAATGCGGACTAAACTAATTTCATACAATCGTCTCTGTAGTCTCTTCCTGTGTGAGAAATCTTGTACGTTAGATGCATTATATTATATCTTATCATTCAAAAAATTCCTTAATTTCTATAATTTTTAATTCTCTAATATTTGAGTGTTGTCTTACCTAGAGTAGGTTTCCTGGACATATAAGAATAAAGCCAACTGTCATTCTTTACTGTCATCATATCCCACACATGAAGAGGGAAAAAAGTTTCCTCGTTCTTCTAAAAAATGACAAAAAATGTTTAAAGTTTTCATCAGTGATCCGATTTTTCGTTGGACTCAATCAAACTAATTTACATTTTCTGTTTAAAATGTAGTTGGTCCACTTTGCATAGGCGCAACTAGGGGGGGGGCGGCCGGGCGCGCGCCCTCCCCTAGCACCTGAGAGGGGGGCGCCCCCCCCCCCAGGAATTGATTGAGTCTTTGCCACAAACTCTGATTTTACTATCTTATTCTTTACAATCTGTTACATCAAATATTTTAAATTTGAAATATCAAAGATTTACACTATCAGGTTGAAAAGATTTAGGGATTAGAAAATCAAAGTTTTTGGCAAAAAATCCATTCCTGTATTGTAATTTATTTTATATGATTTTTACGATTGGACGATTGTTTCAGGTTTTTAAACGGGTCGGATCGGCTAGACGGGGGGGAGAGGATTTAACCGCACCCCCCCCCCTTCCCTGTTAAAAATACTATGCCTAAATTACTTACATTACAAAATTACATTACAGTCAATGATGGAAATTATGTATTAAATATTGTTTTGATCGTACTGCCAACACGTAAGATATTATTCTTTCAAAGCTGCAATGGGCTTATTAATAGCTTCAACCCTTTTTTAAAGTGTTTGGCAAACAAATTTTCGCGTTAAAATGTTTGGTTAATTTTAAGTATCTTTTTAAAGAATAATAACTATTTAATAGAGGACGTGAGTTAGACGAGGGAGGGGGTGCAGAGGCGCCATGATCCCCGCAAAAATGACCTCCGAACCTCAGGATTTGCAGAATTCACTTTTTAATACAAAATGTTAATGTATTATTCTGAACTATTTCATCATGTTGAGAATTTTTTAAAAAAAGGTTCTTGGTGGAAATAAAAGCCAAATATTTTTTTATTGGAGCCAAAATGCGGGGCGTGGAGACAGAATGGCGGGAGGCTTGGTGACGTCACTGAGGCTGGGAGACCAGTTTTGCGGGGCCTGGAGGTAATTCTGCAAATCCTGAGGTTCGGAGGTCATTTTTGCGGGGATCATGGCGCCTCTGCACCCCCTCCCTCGTTAGACTCTAATGAAAACGCAGAAATAACTTCCAGTATATATATTTCTTATAACTTATTACTAGAGGGTTCAGAACTAGAGTCAATCTCGATATCACACGTGTAATTGTTTATCAGTACTATGCCCCGTATCTGTTCTATCTCATTCTGTTGAATCTTGTGGAACTTGTTTAACGCGGCCAGGCATCGTCTTCCACAATTTAATCATTTTTTTGTGATATTTTAAAAAATTAGATATTTGTATAAAGGAACCTAGATATCTACCTTGCTGTCTCTTGACATTGTAGGTTTAACTCCTATTTTTGATAAACACCAGCCCATCTCAACATCTTCAGTTCCATCCTTCACAATCATATATATATATATACTGATAAACACCAGCCCATCTCAACATCTTCAGTTCCATCCTTCACAATCATATATATATATATATATATACTGATAAACACCAGACCATCTCAACATCTTCAGTTCTATCCTTCACAATCATATATATATACTGAAAAACACCAGACCATCTCAACATCTTCAGTTCCATCCTTCACAATCATATATATATATACTGATAAACACCAGCCCATCTCAACATCTTAAGTTCCATCCTTCACAATCATATATATATATACTGATAAACACCAGCCCATCTCAACATCTTCAGTTTCATCCTTCACAATCATATATATATATACTGATAAACACCAGCCCATCTCAACATCTTCAGTTCCATCCTTCACAATCATATATATATATATACTGATAAACACCAGCCCATCTCAACATCTTCAGTTCCATCCTTCAATATATATATACTGATAAACACCAGCCCATCTCAACATCTTCAGTTCCATCCTTCACAATCATATATATATGTACTGATAAACACCAGACCATATTATTTTAGTAATTAATACATTGTCAAACCCTGAAATGATTGCTTCCGAATTTTAATCCTTATAACAGGACTGTTTAGGAGTTTTATATTATCAAATTCAGGTTCAAAGTTACACAATAAAGCTGGAAGACACGACAGTACAGATTATCTTTGAATTAGTAAACCGAATATATCTATTGGGATTTAAAGAGTTCTAAGCTGGTATTAGGTTCTCATCCTTAGTCAACACCAAACAGTTTCTGCCCATCCTTTTTATGTTTTTTTTAAATAGTATTTCATGTTTTTTTCTTTTCTATATAAATACTTACATCTGAGGCTTTTTGCAGGGGTAAATAAATATATACATTTATTCTATAGTGATTAAAAATTTGTTTATTTTTAGCTTTTATGATTTATTTTTGTACATGGTATATTTACCCCTGCAGAGGGTTTCATTTGGAAAGGCTTTAGTGACCACTAACTCAACTGCTTTTCTAAACAAATAAATGAAATGATAAATGTGAAACATTAATATAATGATTATATAAAATCCTGCACCCCAACTAATATATCCTTGATCCACTAAATATATTTATATATTTATACCTAGATAGAATATATCCTGCACCTCCACTCATATATCCTTGATCCACTAAATATATTTATATATTTATACCTAGATAGAATATATCCTGCACCTCCACTCATATATCCTTGATCCACTAAATATATTTATATATGTATACCTAGATAGAATATATCCTGCACCTCCACTCATATATCCTTGATCCACTAGAGCACTAAAGTGTCCACCAAAGAATGTTGGTTCCTCTGGATCATGTTTGGCTGAACATTAATTTCAATCATAATAAGAATTCACTGTGAACCATACTATGGATGTTATTTATCTAAATTTGACAGATGCTTCGTGAAAAACTGAACAAGTTGCAGCTTTGAAATTTTCAAGCCCAGGGCTACGAAAAGTTTAATGTTATTTGCAGGTATGGTCATATCATAAGCAAAGGCATATAGAGACGCTTTATTGTCCAGTCCAGTACGTCCGTACATTTTATTAATAATTTTTTTATAAAGTGTTGAACATACTATAATGGTATTTGTAAAAGTAACAGAAAACTGTTGTATGACTGTAAACTAAGCCTTTTTTTCAAGAAATTTACAATCTGCAAGATAAAAAGTATCGCAACCAAAAGAAGGTTTAAACCCTGAAGCTACACTTACAGAGCATTTGGTGAAGGTTTTCCATAATAACGTAGGTATCATCATCAGCTTTCATCACCCAGTCAATCTTTTAAAAAAAATCTAAAAATGTTGGTCCTTTTTTAGACATTGGAATATCTGCAGAGGTGAGAGTTTTTGAAAATCAAGATGTAGTTAAACCAGGTGCTTTTTAAGTTGGGTTGAGACGTAGGTTCGCCAAGAACTCCTTTTATACAACACATTCTTAAAATGTATATGTCTAAGGTTACAAAAAGGGTTAAGTGAGCTGGTAAGGTTAAAACAAAGGCCACTGCGTTTTAACACTTTAAATTCGAAGCTGTCTAAACATTAGAAGTCTAACTTTCTAGCGTTTTCTATATTTCAGTGACATCTAATTGTCGATTATATCAGTAAATGTAATCTTCTTTCTCCTCAATCATATAATTACCTGTTCTATAAGGTGTTCTTGTGCAAACTGGAATCCATATTTAGTTTTGGACCAGAGATTACCATAGGTTTCCTAAAAATATATATATTTACAATATATTTACAATATATATACATTAAACTAACTTGGAACTCAGCGTTGCCCAGGTTACTCTTAGTTATTCCCACCCTTGGTATTACATTACATTTTAGACAACTCAACTTAAAATCTCAAATTCAAGCTCGTAAAATTTGAGGCAAATCGGTCAATGGGTTCCTGAGTTATGAGCGTACAAACAAACAAGAAGACACCCAAACAGAGATTACAACTTTATTTATAAAGATATATTACTCAACTTTATGGAGATATTAAAACTACATTGTACTGGGAGTGTGTACTCATTAACATGACAATTTAAAAACGACAAAATATAAACTGTTGATTTTTTGTCTCAACTTATCACTTTTATTCCGAGCGTGTTTTGTTTTGTTATTCATTATAATTCAGCGCTAAGTCCTATTTACTTTTACTTTTAATACTGATCGTATAGAGTAACTGTAAAAGAAATAAAATGAACAAAAGGAAATAAACATATAAGTGATAATGCACGACTTTTTATGAAATAAAAATAAATATATTTTTTCCATATTTACCGATCTAGATAAAAAAATGTTTAAAAGGACTGTAAGTACAATTTAAAGTGACCCTTCATTCAAATATGACAATACCAGATTCACAGCGGTTCCCTTAAAGGGACAGACTAGGATTCATTTGAAACATTTAAAACTTTTTAAAGATCCATATATACTGAGATTTAGCTCAAAGTCGACGTTTAAAATCGTACTTTTGGCTGGATACGTTTTCAGATTTTTTTTTTTTTAATTATTAAATAACGACAACACAAACGCAAACAAAATTCTACAGTAAACTAATTAACAGGTTGAGAAAATAAAAATTAATCTTATCATCGAAAATAAGCAATCTTATTCAATTATTAGTTATTATTAGTTAATCTCTGATTATTCATAAATATTTTCTGCAGATTTTCTGGAATTTTTATTGAAAAGACGACATTTGACAAATTTATAGAAATCTGCGAACAAATTCATAAAAAATAAAAATACAGTATAATAATGAAATCGAAATAAAATAATTGATTCTAAAATTGATATACTGCCAAATTTCTTTTGACAAATATGGCCCTTACCATCTATTTAGTTTACTGTATAATTTTCAATTAATTTTTCGTTGTCGTTATTTAATAATTAAAAAAAGGCGACTCTGAAAACGTACCCGCTCAAATTCATAATTTTGAACGTCGATTAAGCACTCAAACTCAGTAATTATACATCGTGGAAACGTTTTATATGTCTCAAATGAATCCTAAAGAATTTGTCCACAACACTGCATACTCAGTTCAACTACCTTATATAGCCAGTCTGTCCCTTTAAAAGCTTTGTCTGATCAAATATGAATTTGGTATCGATGATTAAAATTTTGGAAAGTGATTATTTTTAATTGCGGTTTCTCTTATATTAAATTGACTTGCGCATTTCTGCCTTAGAAAAATATTTCGGAATTGTACAATTTTAAACCTAGAAAACCATCAAAATTCTTCACATTATGATCTGATATCTAGTTTCAAGCTTTAAGATGAATCTACCTGAGCTGTGTTGTGTAGAATTGGTAAACCATGATCCCCTTCTGTAGACTAAATTAAATTTCGAGATTTTTTAAAATACAAAATTACATTTACAAAAAGATGCAAAATTATTGCTTAGAGTTATTTCAAAAGTTCAAAATTTGCTAATATCTAAATATTTTATGTTTTAATATAAAAGAATTATTTTTTGTTAATTAAAGTTCTGTAAAAGAAGGATTTTTAAGGAGGTTTAATTTTTATTTACCTCCGTACTGAGAAAATACAAAAACGTGCATCTACTCCCCCAGGTGTCAAACACTCTAAACATAATACATCCTTAATCACAAAGGATAAGACTCTACGGAATTTTCTATTTCTCACAGCTTGATTATTTCTTTGTCACATGATTTTCTTACAGCTTGAGTATTTCTTTTTCACATGATTTTCTCACAGCTTGATTATTTCTTTGTCACATAATTTTCTTACAGCTTGAGTATTTCTTTTTCACGTGATTTTTTCACAGCTTGATTATTTCTTTGTCACATGATTTTCTCACAACTTGATTATTTCTTTGTCACGTGATTTTCTCACAGCCTGATTATTTCTTTGTCATCACGTGATTTTCTCACAACTTGATTATTTCTTTGTCACGTGATTTTCTCACAGCTTGATTATTTCTTTGTCAGGTGATTTTCTTACAGCTTGATTATTTCTTTGTCAAGTGATTCAATATTCCAGTAAAAGTCCAAATTAAACCTTTGCATCGTAAAATGTCATGTCAGTAACATACAGTGAATCTCAGATAAATGGATATACATAACAAGATTTTTTTATAATGTCGCATTCTCAACCTATTTAAGATCAAATGCCGCGGGAAAACGATATATACGATATATCGGGGATATTAATTTACCTTTAAATAAAATGAAAAGTAGTTCATTAAGAATTATTAAAAAAATATGACTCTTCAGAAGGATTTAATTGGATATATTTTCATAAATAGTATTCAACACTTTAAAGCTGCGAACATCTAAGCAGCTTTCTTCGTGCTCAGAACAATGATAAACCATAGAAGCTGTCATAAACCCTTTATAAATTTCAAGACGATATTTCATGCTCTTGCTATGGTACCCTCCTCTATAGATCTAATGTATATAGTAAATTATGGGAAGAGAGAGTTAATGTTTCTTTTATTTTAATAATTTTATAAAATTCTCTTACGCCTGTCCTCTATCCTTTAAACTAGATGGTTGGGTCAGGATCAGACAAAGTAATCTTTAAAAACAGAAACTTTTTAATGATAAAGATTTTATAAAAATGTTAACTCCCCCCGCGGTTAACATTTATAAAAAGTATTCCCAGTCTAACTACGTCTAGTTCCTCATACATTTTCAAGTCCTCACTCCTTAGGTTGAATGGGAGGGTTCATTTTTGACACCCAAAATTAAAATATAGCCCTTGGCAAGATCTTTAACATCAAAAAAATATCTCATCATTTTGCAAAAGTTAATTTTATTGCGTTGTTTCTGATTTTCCTGATTGGGGATTTGTGTTTATTAAAATTGGCATATTCACTCTGTAGATGATACTTGTAATTTCTACTAGCCTCATTTTCTGAAAATAAACTTTTTGATTTATTACCTATTGATCTTGAACTTTCATTGATTTTATCATTGGAAGATTCATTTACTTTATTGATCTTAAATCTTCATTGATCTGAAACTTCTATTAGTTTTAAACTTACAAGATATTAAACTTCTTTAAATCTTAATTGATTTACATTTAAATTAAATTGGTTGTAAACAAAGCTTCATGTTATCTACTAATGAGAACTACCTTTTTCAACACTATCTTCAGTTGTATCTTCAACATAATCCACTTAACATGGCTTTTTTGTGTTTATCTATTAGATGCTTTTTAAAAATTTTAATTCACAGCTCACAAGGTATTAGTCTCTCCTATTTGGCAAAACAGGAAATAAAGAAAAAACTATTATGAAACTTGATTAGTGCAAGCTATTAACATTTAAGAAATATATTCTAGCAAGTTAAAGAGAAAAAATTTCAAATAGTTGTTTTTCTGACATAGTTAATTTATCCCATTTATCAAAAAAATTATCTTAAAGGGCGTGTTGACGTTATTTGAAGGGATTCACAACAATATCTTCCACAATTGTTACTTAGAGAATCATTTGAAGGGTACCATAGTGAATCGAACACTGTTTATGGAATACAATTTGAAATAACGTCGACAGTCCCTGTAAGAAAAATGTGTTTAATTTTGTAAATTTTACAAAAAAAAATTGTTACTCCTGAGAGCCTACATGGGTGTGAGAGGTTAGAAGAACTTCCTTTACTGGATTCCCTTGAGCAAAAAATAAAAATATTTTAGATGGAAAGTCAACACAACGAAATTGAGTCTTGGCCACAAACTCAAATTTCACTCCTTATATCTTTGTAACTCGAGGGTGTAACATATATTGTTATTTGATATTAAAGAATTAAAAGTTGAAATACCTAAGGTCTAGGAATTAGAAAATCTGAGTTTTGACAAAAACTCCGTTCCCTTCTGTTCGAACAATTACTGGAAATATTTGTGTGTGTGTTTTTTTTTTAACATACAATTTTCCGACCGCTACATTTCTAGAAATCTACTTGTGATTTTTTGCAACAAATCCCTTTAGGTTAATCACAACAAATCTAGTGTAACGTAACGTAACGTAACGTTTCTCTGAGATTTTCTATTTTTTATTTTTGTTTTCATGCATTTAACTGTTTGTAGGCTTTGTTTACTATGTACTAAAATATATATATGCACATTCTATAACATAAAATAAGCAGTCTTTGATCAAAAAGTTCTCTGAAACTGAAGTTAGAAATTAATACTTTGCAGCTTAGAAATTTTCGTATCAACAACAAAAAAACACTTCCTGTTCGGCTCGGTCTCAATATTTGTAAATAATAAATGATGATGATATCACCTGTGTTCAAGTTGAAGAGTAAAACTTGAAAGATTTACTTGTATTCCTAAACTGAAAAAAAAAACATTTAAAAATATAGTTTTCTTATTGAGGATAGATTTTTGTTAAATATATCCTTTAAATGAATCGTTGAAAAAAAAATAATTTTTTAATCAAATTTCTCCTAAATTATCATTAAACAAGTTTTTGATTTATGAATTGTGAATCTCAATTTAGTAGACAAAAAACATAAAATAATACTTTTCATATTCTGCATAAAAACACGAATCTATATAATTCCTTTCAACTTACCCAAATATGAGAATAAAAACTATGAGAACCGGAATAAGTACTTTCAGAAATGTTATCATCTAAAAATAAAATTGAATAATAAAGAATTGTCAAATAAACACCCGATTGTATATGTATGTAAATCAATGTATTTGTTGCTGTCATGAAGAATCAAAAATATCAAAAACATTTCATATATTGGGCGTAAAGGAATTGAGTCATTGCCACAAACTCTGATTTCTTAATCCCTTTATCTCAACAACCCAATGTTGTAGACCCTAGATATTTCAAACTATGAATTCTGATGGATCAAATAATCAAAGTTTGAAATATCAAAAGTTTACTCCATCTTGTTTTAGAGATATAGGTATTAGAAAATTGCGATTTGTTGCAAAGACTCAATTCCTTTATTCAAAAAATCATAGAAAATGTTCGTGACATCGGTTAGTCAATATTATTAGCAAAAATTAGTTTTAACAGTGGAAGTTTTAACAGTGTACATACTGTATTGGTTTTAAGCAACTACCCTCGTAGTCCAATAAAAGGACCAATATATCTTTATGAATTAATTATTCATAAAGGTTGTTTTGCTTTCTTCATTATAGAGCTCGGTTTCTTGTATGAAACTTAAAATACATTTGCTATTTATATATCTATATTTAAATAGCTATATCTCATGATATAAACACACTATTTTTCCATTTTGATTGCTGTACAAATTGTTACGTGTTTTCGTCAAAAAGTATTTAAAAGCTAAAATTCACGTTTTAAAAATCAAAAAAAAATGATAATGAGACGTTGACCTAAATGTATTACCGAACTCGAATTAAAATAAATTTTACATCCAAAGAAAAATAAATTCCTAAATCTTTTGTGCAGTACAATATGCAAAAGTAAGCCGTAAGTAGTCTTGTATGAAGAAGATAAATGGGGGGAAGAGAAGAAAAGAGAGTGATAGGTTAGGGTCGAGAAGGAAAACTCTGTAAACCTGAGAACAAAAAGGAAAACTCTGTAAACCTGAGAACAAAAAGGAAAACTCTGTAAACCTAAGAACAAGAAGGAAAACTCTGTAAACCTGAGAATAAGAAGATAAACTCAGTAAACCTTAGAACAGGAACGAAAACTCTGTAAACCTGTGAACAAGAAGGAAAAATCCGTAAACCTGAGAACAAAAATGAAAACTCTGTAAACCTGACAATGAGAAGGAAAACTCCGTAAACCTGAGAACAAAAAGGAAAACTCTGTAAACCCGAGAACAAGAAGGAAAACTACATAAACCTGAGAACAAGAAGAAAAACTCCGTAAACCTGAGAACAAGAAAGAAAACTCCTTAAACTGAGAACACGAAGGAAAACTCTGTAAACCTGAGAACACGAAGGAAAACTCTGTAAACCTATGAACAAGAAGGAAAAATCCGTAAACCTGAGAACAAAAATGAAAACTCTGTAAAAATGAGAAGGAAAACTCTATAGACCTGAGAATGAGAAAGAAAACTCCGTAAACCTGAGAACAAAAAGGAAAACTCCGTAAACCCGAGAACAAGAAGGAAAACTCCGTAAACCTGAGAACAAGAAGAAAAACTCCGTATACCTGAGAACAAGAAGGAAAACTCCGTAAAACTGAGAACAAGAAGGAAAACTCTGTAAACCTGAGAACAAAAAGGAAAACTCTGTAAACCTGAGAACAAGAAGGAAAACTCCGTAAACCTGAGAACACGAAGGAAAACTCTGTAAACCTGAGAACACGAAGGAAAACTCTGTAAACCTGAGCACAAGAAGAAAAACTCTGTAAACCTGAGAACACGAAGGAAAACAATAACAAAAAAGCATAGTTCTATAGAGAAAAAAACAATAGTTCATTAAAAAAAATAACAGAAATAAAAATTAAATCTTTTGAAAGTTTCGTTTTCTCGATGCACAGTGTGTACTGTGTACTGTCACAAGAAAGTGGTATAATGAATAAGAAAAGCAAAGAAATAGGAAGAAGTTTGAATGAGTTATGACTTGATTTTAAAATCCTGTTCTCTTTGTAAAGAGGGGTGGGGGAAGGTTGGGCAAATAGCAAAATCAAGCAAGTATTTACTGAGTAGATAGTGAGGTTGTCTCAAACTTGTTATGTAAGCCAAACAAATAATAAGAAAAGGAAAATGAGAAATAATGGAAATAATATGATATTAAGTAATTCTGCCAATTAAGGGAAAAGCTACAAAGCCTATTATCCTTCTTTAACTTAAAAAAAATTAAGTTAAAAAGCAAAAATTGTTATAAAAAAGGGTACTTGTATTTGTATTCAGGTTTAATTCATAAAATCAATCTGCAATTCTAGTGGTTTTAAAATTGAAAACAATCCTTTAGATTCCAAATGTATGACCTCAACAAAACAAGGGAATTTGAATTTGTATTGTTTATAAAGGAGACAGATATTGCACAACAGTTTGACCGGCTCACTGTACTCATAGTTGACCCTGGAGCTCGAAATAGATGACACAGTCATTCAATAACACTGCAGCTTATATAATCACATAGATATACTAAAGGATAAAGGGAAGAGTTTTTTTAATGTTTTTTAAGAATAATTATTTTTCTATTTTTAACACAAATTTAAATGATGTATGTTGGTTTCAGCTTTGCGTTTGTTTTGAATATTCTAGATGAAGAGAAAGCAAGTAAACATAAAAGAAGTTTTAGAAGGGGTTGGGTCATTCGAGTTCTGCAGTTGTGCACAGGTAGACAGGTAGACAGGTAGACAGGTAGACAGGTAGACAGGTAGACAGGTAGACAGGTAGAAAGGTAGACAGGTAGACAGGTTATCTTAATGAAAAGTTGCCGAATGGATATTCTAGAATTGCCAACCTTTCTTATTTTTTGTGAATTTTTCAACTTTTAATTATTCGGTATATTAAGGGATTCCTTAAATAGTTTGCAAATTTTAGGATTTCTGCTAAAAAATGTAAATTGGCATGACTAGCAGCATACCTAAACAAGCTTTGAAAAACACAGGAATTCAAAAACATCCGGCATTGAATTTCTTATTGCAAAATGGATAAAATGTGAATATATTCATTATAAACATGCATTTAACATATACAGTAAGAACCAGAAAACAGTGGAATTCTCGTCGTTATCTTTTTTTTATGAAATGACGCTATGCTAAGGATTTTGGAAATCGCAAATGCACATTTCTAAATATATACAAGTTGCTAAATTTAAAATTTATAAATCCTTAAAGCGAAATTTCTTCAGTTTAAGAAGTATTTCCTCAGTTTTCTGGGTCTCACGTCAAACACAAATTAATATTTTAATGAATTAGTTTTTAATTTAGAAAAAAATGGCAGAGGCGTGTAATGTTACCGCAAGAGCTGGAGCTTCTCACAGCAAAGGTTGGTGTGAGAAAATTATGTTTTAAATATCAATTTCTAGAAATATCCTTTTTCTCAATAAAGAAAGGTATGTACATTATTTAATGATAGTGCATTGACTTCAATTAAAGTGTTTCCACGTCTCGGCCCTTCTATGACTCAAAGAAGTTCGTAGTAAGATTTCGATTCTACTGGAGACCACCGGAGGGATTTTATTTTCACTGGAGGGGTTTCAAAAAATGCCTTTTACAATTAAAACTTTACGCAGGGTGATTTACATTCCACTGGAGGGATTCAGATAGCCTTCCTCTTTATCTCAACAACCCAATGTTGTA